ATTCTTTAAAGATAAAAGAATTTTGGAAATAGTTTTCTAATTTAGAAATCGAGTTTTCCAAAATAGAAATTAGTTTCTTAATTTAGGTTTTCTAAACTGATAGGGGTAGCTTAGACAATAGTTTCTTAATATGAGCCTCTCTTAAATACCTAACGAACTTATTTGTATGGTCTATTTAATTATTGAATTATTGGGCGAAAGATGTTTTGGCCAACGAAGCTTAAGTGAAAGCTTACAATGAGTATTTTAAGTGGAGGGGTATTTTTAAGAACTTTAGGTAAAATTTTATTAAATCTAATATAGGATTTATAAAGATAAAAAGATGCATCAAGCCACATAACATCTATCGAAAGAGAGTTGGTTAAATTACCTAATAGAGAGAGAGGTGTAATCTTTTTTTACTGAAAGAATTTACACCAACTTCTACAAAAAGAATTATGCCATCTTCTTGTAGAAAGATTTCTTATGTGTAATCTACATAACGAAAGAATTAGAGCTAGTGCTCTTGATCTTATATCACTTTTTTGTGTTGGTGTCTAAGTTGTATTGATTATCACTAGAGATCGAATGCTTAGATGATTTAATTTGCTAACTTGATACTATGCTTTAAGAGGTAACATCCAAATAATCTTTGTTAATATAATTAGTTGATTCAACGAGTTGATCTTAAGACTTTAGATGGAGGAGAATAAAATTTTTATTTATTTTGTACCTCCATAAGATTTTTCATCCTTCATGATAAACCCATTTATACCCACCATATTTCGAAAGGAAGTTGGGGGCCAAAGACCATGTATCATTAATTATTAAAGCATTGATTTCCTCCACCATAGCTATCCATTAGTGAGCATCCTTGATAGCCTATGAGAATGACTGGGGATCTAAAATTAGGGTAGTAGTACTTATATATGTTTTTGGCTTCAAGTTTCCAAATTAGGACCTAGTAATCATAAAGTGATACTCGTTTAATGGATGGTGTATAGGTTGAGAAGAAGGTGGTTGGGCAACGAGATGGAACTGGATCTAGAGAGGATAATAAGAGTCGTTAGGTGTACAAAGCAATCTACCAAAGGACTAATGGGCTAGACAACTTGTTCTTAGGATGGAACATATATTATGAGCTACACAAGAGAAGTCACTGGAATAGATTGTTGGGCCATGGATGGAAGGAAAGAGTGGCTCATAAAATGTATAGTGAGGTGCCTAGAATGTTAGGCCTTTAGAGTGATGGCATGTCGTATCATCAACAAATTAATGATTTATATATTTTTCTTACTGAATCCAATCACAAGACTACGGTTAGGGTAGGCAAAGGTTGAACCCATAAGGAAAGAGGCTAAATGGATCATTTCTTTTGTTTGAGTGTTTATGTAGTGTAAAGGGAGGTTTATGCATTTAGAATGTTTAGAAATAATTAAAATTAATAAAGAATAACAATATTAAAGAGGCTCGGGTTGAACTTTAGTATCCATTTTTAATTTGGTCACTGATCATAGATTAAATAATTAACTTATCCCTAATATGAATATTCGTCGTAAGATAACAACATGTATGTTGATCCTAGTTTTTTCTTATTAGTCGTTAACCGAATATATGATACCCAATTAATTCTCTAGCTATTGAACAACCTCCTAAGTGCTAGAGAGATTTAATCCAATAACAACATTAAATAGAGAAAGACAAGTGAAGCTAAGCCACCTTCCTAAGCACTAGAGAAGATATAACCTAATTCTATGTTTTCCAAAGAATTGAACAAAAAGTGAAAAATAATCATCAATCCTTAGTTACTATCTCATGCAAGTTTAGACAAGCAATTGCATGAACTTAAATACCGAGCTAGCATTAAGTTAATATGACTAAATAATTAGTATACACTCTAATCAATTTAATCACACAACTATGAATTAATCATACGAGAAAAACATAACATACCTAATAAAGATAAGTTTAGAAATAAAACTCGTAATCTTGTAATGATTAACCAAAAGATTCAAATTGATTCAACCAAGAATAAAGTTTATGAATGGATTACATGGTGGCTACTAAAAGGAAGGGCCCTCAAATAATACCTTAGCTTTATTATTTATACCTAAAAATAGGACTACATCATGTATATGTCAACTCCACATGACCATAAGGTTTAATACATAAAATTACATGATTTGTTACTTAGTGTTACATGGTTTGGATCCCTAAAAAATCAATATTACATGGTTTAATAACTAGGGCATATGGTCGTATGCTATTGTTCTTCATTTCATGTTGCTTCTTTTTGTCCGTGTAGACTTCTTCTTCAAGCCGTATTGAATCTCTTCTACCTGTATAAAGTTACTTTGCCTTAAAGACACGGATGTGTGACTTTGTACTAAAAACCATATGTAAGTCTATTGCCGTGTGATCTTCTTCTTTCCTTGGTTTGTGCTAGGTCGGGACACCTATACGGTTGTGTGGGATTTCTTCCTTTCGTCTGTGTGGAATGCTTCTACGCATGTGGCTTGTATTGCTCGAGCAATCCTCACTCGTTTCTTCCTTTAAGTCACATGGCTAGTAGCTATTTCTTTTGTTATTTCATATGGCTATATAACTCTTCTAAGCCTCTTTGAATTTTTCTCTCTTTCTTGCTTTGATTTATCATTTTTTTTATAAAACCCGAAATCATCATCTTATTCTTAAATAACATAACATAATACAATAAAGACTAGAAAGTTCAATATAATAAAGTATAAAATCACGTTAATTATGTACTTATCATAGAGCCATCCAACGAACCTAGGAGGTCGTGAAGCAAGTGAAACGAAAAGTGGAGCATAGGATGTGGTTGGGCAAGAGCTGGCTAAAGAATTATGGGTCGGGTAGTGTTACGGCTAGAGTTGAAAGACGGGATAAGTAGTTGGACTAAAGAGTGGCTACCCCATCTCGCTATTGGATGCTATTTTTGTCAATAGGCATATGAAGATGAATAATAACGAAGGAGAAGAAAGCATAGGAAGAGCTAATAGGGAGCTAGAAAGCTGCAAGTGGATTGTTGAAGGAGGCATGCATTTTTCTCAACAAAGGGGAACTCCTATTCAAAAAACAATACATAGTGTGAGATAAAAAGTTTTTTCATTAGTAATATCCATGAAAAATAGCCTTTATGAAGCTTGCTATAACTCATAAAAACACATATGCGAGATCGAGGTTCTAGTTTATTTCTAGCATAGGGCCTTAACCAAGGATAACAAGCACAATCAAAAATTTTCAAAAAAAAATCATAATTAGCATATTGTTGAGATAACTCTTCATAAGGAACTTAATGAGATAGAATTAGTGTTGGAAGCTAATTAATAATATAGACTACTCGCATCAAAAGCATATGTCCGAGTACTTGAGGAACTTATGTATGATTGATTATAGCTAAGCCAATTTCAATCATATATCGATGTTTGTATTCAACACATCCATTTTTTTTAGGGTATGTAGGTAAGAACTTCTCTCTATAATTCTATTATTTGTAAGATTTGGTGTGATCGCCTAATACTCACCACCCCAATTAGCTCGAAACAATTTAATAGAGCATCCAAATTTTTTTTCACAATATGTCAAAATTTAATAAAAGTGCTAAGAACCTTAGACTTATATTTAATAAAAAAAATATTCAAGCGTACTTGCTGAAATGGTCAAAAAATAGGAAATAATATCTAGCACTAGTTACAAAAGCAACAATAAAAGAACCCCCATACATCCGAATATATTAACTCAAATGGTGACTAAGCTTGAAAATTAGAACTAGTGCTCTTCCTAATGCTACAAGCATGACATATAGGGAAAAAGTCTTTATTAGATAAAGGGATTTTGTTACGATAAAGAACTTGAAGAACGATTCAAAGTGAGGCATGACCCAATCTTGTATGCTAAGATGATAAAGGTACCGACGTAGTATAAGCCAAATAGGAGAGGAACCAATACTGGTGGTGCTATCGGTTGGCAAGACATACGAAGCCTTGCTTATTCAACTTGAAATCCTTCATATGGATATCCTTAATCATAAAGTAATTAGAAAACAATTAAATAGAAATAGTATTAGCTTTTTTAAAAGAACTTAAAAATAAGAGATTCCGAGATGCGGTAGGCACATATGAAACATTATTCAAAGAAAAATTATGATTATGAATTGGAAGAAAGGATCGTCCAATATGAGAAATTGAAAGAGTTTTACCATTGCCAATAGTCACTTCTTCGAGTCTAGCCTATTCCGAGGAATAGGCTTAGTTTCCTATATTTATCGTAAGATGATACATAGCCCCTAAATCAACAATCCACGGTAAAGAAGCTATGGGACCGGAGGTAGCAAGATGGGTAGTAGGCTAAAATTTTGAAGACTATCAAGTAGAAGCTTGTGAACAAGAAGAGGGATACCGATAAGCAATATGGCTATTGCCCTAACAATTGCAACACATAATGGGACTAGTATTGGGTGTTGAGTAATCTAGAAAGGAAAAAAAATTTAAGGAACGAGAGGGTGTTTGAGTTTATGAGCTAGAATAAAAGTCATGACAACGCTGTCCATGGTCCTGTGGGCCATGACATAGCCTCGATGAAGATCGCCACCATGCGTAGAGAAGTGAGTCAAAGGAGTAGAGATATTGTTTATCATTATGGAATCTTGAGAGAGTCTGTCATTCCTCATTAAGGACGAGACCAAATAAGTCATTGAAGGAAATAAAAGTGAGTTTAGCTTTTAGAGAGCAATCAAAAGGCTCGTTCAAAGTGCTAAGGCCAGCAAAAATAGTATGAACCATGTCATCTTCGGAGATGGGATTACCCAAGGATGCTAGATGGTCGAATAGGCTTTTTCCTTTTGCATATAAACATATATGTCATCATTATCTCAATGGAGTCTACGTAGTTAGTCTTTTAGGTAGTAAATTTGGGTTTTGAAACCCAAAGAATAGGAGGAACTCAAATAGTGTCATGCATCTCTAGTAGTAGAGGCACCAATAATGTGAGTGAGGACCGATTCAACAAGACCAATTGAGGACCAACTTGTCTTGACAATACCGAGCAACATAGGCAAGATTGGGGATATTATGTTCAACGGTGGGGGCTAATGGTGCCATGGTTCCATCAATGTGATGAATAAGATCATGGCCACGCAAAAGTGGAAGAAGTTTGGTCTCCTAAAGAAGAAAGTTTGTGGAGGTTAATTTAACGAGTGATTGTATGAGAGATATTTGGATAAGAGGAAGATTGTATGGTAATGTGTGAGTGAGAGGTAGTAATATTCGAATGAAGATCATCAACACATTTAGGTGTAGCGACCATGGTGGACAAGAAGGTCCGGTGAGGAAAAGGGAGATAGGGATAAGCTTGTTGGTATGAAAGAGAGGAGAAGAGAATATGTGATATAATGGTAAGTAAGTAATGAAGGATCATGCATCTTATAGAGGTACGGAATAAACAAAAAAAAATTTCCTCCATCTAAAGGCCCAAGATCAAGCCGTTGAATCTACTAACCATACATGCTTGAATTTAAACCAATGAATAAGAATTACCTCTCGAGGTGCAAATCTAAATTCTTTTACCGGAAAATCCATCTAAGTGTCCGACCTCTATTGATGATTCACGCAATCCAAGTATCCATAAAAAAACACTTAAAATCGATAGGGTGTTAGCTCCACTTTTTTTTTTATTTATGTAGTGTTTCCTATAGAAATCTAAACTGGGTAATTTTGTGACAACCTTAAAGGAGAAGGAAAGAGTATGGCGTACTAAAGTTTTGGAGAAAACTATTTTCTCCTTTTTTTCTTTTTGTAGTGTGGCCCAATGGCCTTTTTCGGTTCCGATTGAATTTTCTTTTCGCAATCATTCACTCTTTATGCCGCATCTCTCCTCCTATTTATTGGGGGAGAGTTTTTTTATCTTCCAAGGACAAGGAGTTATTTTTACATGTGGACTTTTTTATCTTTATCTTTAAAACATTCATCTTTATCCAATAAGGTTGATGTTTATCCTCCCACCAAAATAGGCTTTTAATTAAACCTAATGGAAAAAACTAGTTTAGCTTAATTAATTTATTTGGACTATCTAAATAAATAATCTTAGATTATTTTAGGTGGGTCCACGTTAGGAAATAATTTTCCAAAATACCTTTTAACCTAAATTAGGAAACTCATTTTTATTTTATTTTATTTATTTTCAAATTTGGAACTAACTTCCAAATTAAGAAATTGATTTCTAAAATAGAAAACTTTCCATTTTAAGAAACTTTCGATTTAAGGAAACTTTCCATTTTTAAACTCTTTCCAAAACGAGAAAACTTTCATAATTCAAAACTTTTTCTAATAATTTTTGCTTCTCATTTATAATGTGAATATTTAAACTTATATGTGTGACTTAATAGGCTCCTAGATATGTTGGCAATGTATCAAGAATAAAAGACTCATCTTTTATCTCTTGATACATAAATCAAGATTGGCGTCTAGTAAGGCATCATGACTATCCAATTTTCTAGGGGAGTAATTAATCTATTATTACCTTTCACGAGCATGGTTATCATACAATTCGGTCCTCATGTCAACTTATCACGAGTATGATCTCAAACTTAGTTGTATGTCTTGTTCGATTATGATTACACAAGTTTTCTTCGATTCCTAAATGTCTTAACTCTTAGAGTAAACCAACTATGCTCTATTGGTGTACTCCTACTATGGCCACACATTTCTCGAGTGAATAATTATCGAAGTGCAATGTGATAAATCATTTAGCATACAAGGAATGATATATCCTATCTTAGTCATACACCTATCTCCATTAAATTTCTAGTGCACCCAACAAATTATCCACGTGCAAACCTTTAATGGGTCCATCGAAATGAGTGTCAAAGTGCATAAGTCCTCTAATGAGACAACCATGATGACTTCAAGTCTAAGGACCATTTATACCCATCTCGTATGAGATTCTCATAGACTAAAATCAAATGGGTTCTCATAGCGAGTTAAGTACGGTGATATGTTCTCTAACATGAATCACCTAAGTGCTTGCTTTAGTGTCACCATGCCAATAGGTATGACATCTTATACTACTATCATATAGCATGAGCATAGCACTCACGAGTCTATCCACTTATAGTCAATTTCCATTCCCGACAACGGTATGACTTGGGACGTTTAATGATATCATTTATATGCATTAGTGTTTGTCTCACATCTTTTGATCAATCACTATTACAAATACATATCATAAAAATTCTATCTAATTCTATTGAATTTACAAACATAAAACATAAGAATTAATAGAATAACTTCTTTATTATTATTATTAAAATAAATAATGCAATAATACATTAACTCAAGCATATCTAAACATGGTTGAAATCTTAGGCACCTACACTAATAAGTAATGGTGGGTAAATAAGTATATGGTAGTAGATATTAGTGCGGTGATAGATCTATAATGGGGCATAAGAAAGCCGAGGTAGCGACAGGTGGGGAAAAAAATTGTAGTCACAAACAATGTGGTGGGTGGAATAACACACTTTTGAATGTTAAGCCTAGAATAGCTCGGATACCATGAAGAAGTATACAACTAGATGAATTCCACACACTTGTGGTTCCGTATATTGATCTATAAATAGGTTACGGAGAGTGATACGATTCATTGTTTAAATATTTGAAAATGATCATGTCTGATCTATACGATATTTGAATATTGATTATCTTAACTAATTATCTTAGATTATAAATTTTCTTACGTAACTAATTTCTTTTGAGAAGTCTGATATATACCTAATTAATTTGTACGGAAAAAAATGTCTTCTGCCTATGCTCGTTTAATTTGCTTCAAATATTTCAAGTATGTTAGTTGTTAAACCTTTTACTATGGTTAATTTGCGGTTGAGATTGTAAAAATCAATTAAAATGATAATTGTGGCTTATAAAATAAAATTCAAAAAAACTATTTGGTGCAATGTGAAATGAAATAGCACCTTCATTTTCAATAATAAAGTAAATTAAGGGCTGTTTTTTCTTTTTGAATCAGCTTCATTTTCAATAATAAAAAGCACCCCCCTCAATTTCAAGAAATACGTAAAAGAAGAATATTTCATCATTCCAAACCAATGACGGATCCTTGTAGAGATGGAGGAAGGCAACAATTTCTCCTAGGATTTTAATTTCTATTTTTCATTGGTATTTATTTATTGAAGTCCCTTGTCAATGCATTCAATCTAATCTCTGTATCCTAAATTTTATTTGCAATTGGATCCTTAATTTATAATTTTTCTTTTCTCAAAGCTGAAAGTCTCTCCCTCTATCTCGGGTGTTTATATATATATATATATATATATATATATATATATATATATATATACGCATTCTTTAAAAAAAAAATGTTTTCAAAATAGTATTTTTCTTTTTCACACATAAAAGCTAAAAATAAAATTTATTCATTCCTTGTATGAGAACATCTAAATAATAATAGAAATTACTTAGTTGATTATGTTCTCTCTCTATATTTATCCAAACATTCGTATCATCAGAGTCATTGGTCCATACAGGAAACCATAAGTATTGCAATTCTTTAGTGAAATCAATCAAATATGTGCTGGTTTTATTTTACTTTCCAAATACTTGAGATAATGACTTTGAGCCTCCAAACGGCCATCACAAATCTTGCAAATAGCTACCAGTACAAGCTAAAGGAAATTGACACGCAAAGGGTATTTGACCTTTAAGCTTCAGCTTTATGCCATGCAAATTCTTTCCCCAATATTAAATGTCACGGTTTTGGAAGTTACAATTTTTGTGGCTGCCCCACTCCCTTTCATATAAGAACACTCCTTTATGTATATGGGTGCTTATCTTTATCAAGATAGCTTTTCTTTCATTTCTTTCTTACCACCATTGATAACGTACTAATCTACGTACTTCCATTTTTATTTAATTTCTTTCTCAAAAATTTCAAATTGAATTCTTTTTACTATGAAAAAAAAAAAAACAGAGTGAAATTGAATTCTTAGTTAGGATGGTATTTTTGTTGCACTTAAATGTTGTATTTACTAGCAAGATTTGTAAGATAAACTAAATATGTTCAAGTATATAAGCATAGCAAAAATTAATAATACTTCATGTGTATGAAAAATCACGTCAATCTATAAGAATAACATAAAAATGTCTAGACAATCAATAAAAATAAAATAAAGTCAAACATCAAATGGTTTAGCTAGACCCATACAATCCACATGATCACTATACTATTTTGTCAATGGTGCTCTAGTCATAGGATCCGCAACCATTAGCTTAGTGTTAACTTACTCAATGAGCGTTTCATGTTCCTTCACTTTCTCTCTCTCTAATGAGATACTTTAGTTGATATGCTTGTTTTGACTTTCACTCTTATTATTTTTAGAGAAGAAAACTACATTTAAATTATCACAATAAATCTTTAATTGCTAGTTTTGATATAAAATTGATAGTTTCTATATAAAAAATAAAATTCCTTAACTAGATAGCATGTGTTGTTTCTTCATAGCATGCAATGAATTTTGCTTTCATAGTAGACAAAGAAACAACAACTTGCTTAGTACTTCTCCAAGATATACAGCTCCTCCAGGTAAAAAGAAATATGTATCGGGAAGCGGGCTTTCTTGTGTCTATACAACCAACAAAATCTACAATTGAACAATTAACCAACTCAAGATGACTAGTATGTTTGTAAGTTAGTTTGTAATTCTTGGTTCCTTGTAGATACTTTATGACTTTCTTAGCGAGCTTTCCAATGTTCCATTCTAGAATTGCTTTAGAAACTTTCTAACATTCTTATTTTAAATGCCAAGTCAAAGCTTGTATAGACCTATGCATACATCAAATTGTCAACTATATATGCACATGAAATGTTACTCATTTGCTCTTTTTCTAATACATTTTATGGATATTTATTGAATTTGTTTCCTTTGACAATGAGTGCTAATAAAGATGCACAATTTGACATTTTGAATCTTTTTAAAACTTTCTCAATGTAGGTCTTTTGAGAAAATTCTAATATTCTTTGAGATTTATCTTTATGAATCTTTATGCCAAATACATAAGAGATTTTCCTAAATTCTTCATATCAAAGTTTTGAGATAGAAATTATTAAGTCTCATGAAGCAAACCAAGGGATTAGAAATTGATTGTCTCCT